AATGACAAAAAAATGATATTTAAATTTGCAAATCCCCATTTGGTCACCTGAATCATAAAAATTCTTATTTAGTCACACATGACCAAATTAGGATTTTGAAATTTGTTGACAAGATCAAATTGCCCTTAACTTTTTTTCCTTAAAAAATCATCAGCCACCCTTGTCGACAAACCAGTCACCGGAGCTTCTGCACTGACAATCCTCCGGAGTTTAGGTAGGCCTCAGGTGCCTAAGCTCTGGCGGCCGACTGACAACCAGTCACCTAAGATCTGGTGATCGGCAACTGTATTTTTGGAATTTTTACAACTATAGTAACGTGGTTAACAAATTTTTTTTTTTAACATTATTAACAAATTCAATATAGTAGTTAACAATAGATTTTTCAGAAAATTTAAAAATTCGTATTTTTACAACTTCAGTAATATGGTTAACAAATTCTTTAATGATATTAACAAATTCAGTATAATAGTTAACAACAGATTTTTCAGAAAATTCAAAAATTGACATATTTACAACTTTAGTAATGCAGTGAATAAGTTCTTTAACTCTATTCACAAGTTCAGTATAGTAATTAACTACAGATTTTTCAAGAAATTAAAAAAATGATATTTTTACAGTAATGATATTAACAACTCTTATAATTATAATGATTACTTAATAAATGAAAAAAAATTTTGCGCAATATTTATAGAAAGCTAATATTAAAAAAATTAACCTTCATAGGAAATTTTGTTAATGGCGCTATAAGAGTTGCTAATATCATTACATGACTTGTTAATCGCATTATTAAAGTTGTAAAAATGTCACTTTTTGAATTTTCTGAAAAACTTGTTGTCAACTACTATACTGAACTTGTTAATAGCGTTAAAAAACTTGTTAACTACATTACTAAGGTTATAAAAATGTCAATTTTTTAATTTTCTGAAAAACCTGTTATTAACTATTATACTGAACTTGTTAATAGCATTAAAGAATTTGTTAACAGCGTTACTAGAGTTGTAAAAATCTCAAAAAAATATTCATCCACCGCCCGCCTTACCTAGGCAGTGGTCACCAGCGTCAAAGCTCCGACGATCAGTCAATCGGTGAGAATGCTTGATGATTTAAAAAAAAAAAATTAAAGGGCAATTTAGTCTTTTTACTCTTTTTAGCAAATTCCAAAATCTTAATTTAATCACGTGTGATCAAATAGAAATTTTCATTATTAAGATGATTAAATAATAATTTCTAAATTTCTAAATTTAAATATTATTTTTGTGTCATTTTCTCATAATCAAGTAGGGTCCTCACAGTATGTCCGTATTTCACATTCCTACCGCTACAGCGCGTGGAATTAGTCACCGGGTCACGTCCATCACATGGACCAAGAAAACATTACAGGACATAGTGACCCTCACTCACGTGGCCTGTTTAATCCCTAAAATAAAAGGATTTAACATTTCACAAAATATGAAATTATGTAAATAAATAAATAAATAGATTTGCAATTTTAAAAATTAATTTAAATATCCCAGAACTAACCAATCAAAATTTCATCAAAGGGTTGAGAACTTGAGATAAGAAATAGAGAGAGAGTTCAAACCAAAAAGAAAATAGAAAGAAGTCAGTTCCAAAATAAAAAGTGTAATTATAATTTTGTTTCTAAATTTTTTCTTCAAATATTGGATATTTATTTATTTTCAAAACATAACAATGTGATCTTTATATTTAATGAGGACTAACTTTGATCGTTAAACGCTGGTAAAAAAAAACTTTGATTGTTAAATACTACCTTCGGTTCTTAATATAAGAGCTAGTTGACTAATTTGAGTAGATTAAGAAAACTAGTTAAGTTAGTTATTTGTAATAAATAAGTGTTGTCTTTTATAAGTTATCATTGCTAATCAAGTACTACCTCCAGTCCTAATTATAAAAGCTAGCTGACGAATTTGAGGAGATTAGGGAAGTAAATTGATGAGTTAGTTATTTATTTTAAATAGGTATTATCTTTCCTAAAATATCGTTGCTAATCAAGTGTATTGGCTAGAATTACCATTGTTAGAAGGACTATTTTAGAAAAAAAAATATAAATATGAGAGACAAAGTAGATCGAGGTCTTATATTTAGGATCAAAATAAAAGTCAAACAAGTTTTTATATTAAGGATTGGAGGTAGTATATTGGTTAGAACTACTTTTATTACAAGAACTATATTAGAAAAACATAAATAAATATGACAGACAAAATAGATTAAGGTCTTATATTTGGGATCAAAATAAAAATCAAACTCTTACGTAGTACTCCTCCGGTCCTAATTATAAGACCCAATTGACTTATTTGAGGAGATTAAGGAAGTAAGTTAAGTTGGTTATTTATAATAAATAAGTGTTGTTATTCCTAAAATATCCTTGCTAATTAAGTCTATTGGCTAAAACTATCATTATTAGAAGGATTATCTTGGAAAAAAATACATAAATATAAGAGAGAAAATAGATTGGGTCTTATAATTAGGACCAAATAAAAAGTCAAATTGGGTCTTATAATAAGGACCGGAGGAGTATTTTCTTTGATCGGAGATGGACATGTGAACGTCGGAGATATGTTTAGAATCTTAAAGAAAAATATACTCCTGATTATTTTGAAAAGTTATTTTGAATAACTTCTGAAACTAATCAAACGAGATAGGAGAGAAAGAATGTCACAAAAATAAGGAAATACATAAACTACCATAAAATTTTAAAATAACAAAAACAAGTAGTTTTTATGAATGAAAATATACAAAGTCATCATTAAAAAAAATCTGAAAATCACTAAAAAATTCAGTTTGAGTTTATTACCTAGCAGTACCTATCATGAATTGCCAAATATGACCATTACTTTAAAAATAAAATAAAAAAATAAAAATAAATTTACAATTGAATGTATGCTATATAATTTTAGACAAATGAAAAATGAATAGGTATTATTAAATAAAAATTAATTTATTACTAAGATATCATTATTGTTATTAGTTTATCTAGTACAGAATTTATTGTTTAATCCTCAGCACTTAATAAGGGTGTTCGAAATTAATCTAAACTGATTAGAGCAAACCAAAGCACAAAGAGCAAATAAAAAATATAATAGGTCAAACCCCAATCGGTGGTCAACGGCCGGTCAACTATTTCGAGTTGCTTAATATGGTCAAAGGACATTATCACTTCCAAATCCCTTTGAGGCCTAGTAGTAATAACTAAAATTAAGAAATCATTTTTATTTAATTTTTTGCCCTAAGATAAATTTCCTTATTTAATTAAATTCCTCTCAACATTTCAATAAAAAAACATTTGTTAGTCAAGATCCAACATTTTGGTCATGTGTCCTTTAATTTCTCCATTTTCCCACCTCTTTCCTCTGCCCTTCATTTTTGTCACATGTTGATTCATCTATCCATATTCTTCCTTTCATTGAGCACATGTTGAAGCAATCTTATTTAGTGCCGTTAATTATGGGAATATACTATATTCTGTCTTTAATATATAATATAGATAATTAATTTATGAAGATTAAGACTGTTAAATAATAACTTAATTATTATATCTGGTCTTAATTATACGACCTTATTTATAGTCTACAAATGAGATTTTATAAATAGGATCGAAGGTGGTGTAATATACGTTACATAATCTATTTGAAATACTTATTTGTGTTATTAGATTATATATCCATCCATAAGTCAGGTAAATTAGTTTGAAAAAAATGATAAATATAAATATTTAAATTATTTATTTATTTATTAATTTTTTAAATTATTTTATTGGGTTTTATATTAAAAATTGGTGGTGTGAGTGTGGGTGTGTGTATGTTTTTACGACTAGAGGCTTCTTAATATTGATGATCATATGGATTTGTATTCGCTGCTTTTTTTTATTTTTTATTTTATTTTTTTACTTTCAATTTACTTGGGAGTTGACTGTCCAAAACATCACCTGTCAGTATACTAAACTTACTTTAGATGAGAACTTAATTTTTTTATTAAGTTATGAGAATTTAATTTAAGGCATATTTGAAACAGTTTATAAGTAATTTTTTAATAATAATTTACTAGATACTCCCTCCGTTCCTTATTATAAGAGACAAATAACCGAATTACGTTGATAAAAAAAACAGTTAAAATTAGTTAAGAACAATTAATGTGTAAAAAATATAATTTTTTTTCAAAAATGCCCTCATTAATAAGAAGAGAGAACATGAGAGAGAACAATTAAATTATTGAAAGAAAGAGAAGTGGGAGGGAGAGAGAGTGTGAGTTGAAAACAATAAATATGGGTAAAATAGGAAATCAACACAGAAAAGCAGAGACAACTTTTAAGTGTCTCTTATATATAGAAACATACTATAAGCATCAAATGTCTTTTGTAATAAGGAACGGAGGGAGTACAAAATAAATATGTAAAATTTTTTTATCTCAACTAATATGAAACATACTTATAAATAATTTTTAACGTCCTGCTGAATAGGGCCTTAGTGTTGCTTCTTTAATGGGCAACTGCAAATTCAACATTTTAATTTCTAAGCTTTCTTTTTTTTTTTAAATGACATTTAAATTTAATATTTTTATGAGTTATTAATTTCAATTCTCTAAAAAAATAATAAAATGGATCTTTAGTTGCCACGTGGCGCCATCAGGAAGGGGATATAGATAACGCCTGCCATGTGCCTGCAGAAACAGATTTCGTTGGAGCATTTAAGATTGGAAGAACCAGAAAACTCGGATGCGCAGTTTTCACGGACACAGACCTCATTTATTTCTTCTTCGACCTGCCACCTGTTGTGCAGTGTGAACCCATGTTTTTCTCGCCTCCTACAACCCCATTATATCCCCTTGGCCTTGAATTCTTCGTAATGCCTGTCTCTTTCTCTCTCCATCCATGTCATTATCGATCTTCCCGTTAAAAGCTTCTCTCCCATCTACTCGTTTTCAAACATTTCCCTGAAGATTCCTTCATTCGCAGTCGTTGGGAGCTCATTAAGCGCGCACTTTCTCTTTTATAACTATAAACTTCTGTTTCTGGTTCCTGCAGTCCCAAAATTCGCCTCAGTTCAGGTGGGGTTTTACTCTTCCTCTCCTTATCTCGTGGGTAGTTCGTCCTGTTTCTAATTCAAGTAAAACGAATTTTTCGGTGTTGATCAAATTAGGTATAGTTTTCAGCAAGTTGGGAATTTTTTTTACTCTCGAATTCGTGCCTTTTTTTCCCCCTCATGTGTCTGCGACTGTGTTTTTGTCTACTCCCAGAATTCGCCCTACTTGCTTTTTTCTTTCTCAGTTGGGTTCAGTGTCTGGTGGGAATTTTTTTCCCCCTAAATTATTCTTGTACTTCTTTCCTTTTCGCTTTCTGTGGGCAAGTGTGTGGAATGTGCTTGTACTTATCAACTTTAATATTTGAGATGAAATGCCTTTTTTTTCCTTCTTGAAGATAGAACTTTCCGTGCTTTACTTATTGACAAATTCAGTTTGATAAAATAACTTGTGGTTCCATTTCTTTGGGTTCTGCTCCATACTCTGCTGGTAAAGCTACAGGATCCAAACGCTTTCTTTATTTTATTTCTTGTTTCGCTTAAAAAATTGTTTTATGCTTGTTTGATTATTCAACTAACCGGACTATACAGCTTATTTTATTCTGCTTGTAAAGTTTGCTGCTGAAGAGTCAAACGCTGGCATTTAACGGGGTCTCGAATATTGATTGTGTTCTGTACAAAATCTGAAACTAAATTCGCTTTTCTCTTGTTCCACAGTTGCCCGTTGGCTCAGCCATGAATTTTCCTGGTTGGAATTTTGAGAATGATGCTTTTGTCACCAATCAAAAGAAGCCCATGGGGTTTGTGCCATCTATATCTATCAAAGCAGAATATTGTTGTTCTCTCAATACTCTTTGCTTTAATCATAATTCCCTCTGGAAAATTCCACAGGACGGACCAAGAACTTGTGGAGCTGATATGGCAAAACGGACAGGTAGTTATGAACAGCCAGACGCAAAGAAAACCAGCTGCAAATTCTATCGACTCGAGACAGTTCCAGAAAAATGATCAATCAACAATCAGGGCTAATGAGTCGTATGGGAACTCAAGTCATTTGATTCAAGATGATGACGCCGTCTCATGGATTCAATATCCACTTGAGGATCCATTGGACCAACAACTTTGTTCAAACATTTTATCTGAACTGCCATCCTCTGGACTTGAGTCGGGCAAGCCAATAAGACAACTTGAAGAGGGAAAGTATGTCAAATTCGGCCCCTACAGTGCTTGCCATGTGACTGCAAGTTCACAAACACCAAATATAAAGCCCTTTTCTCAGGAATTATCAGGAGATGCTATGCCTGCTCCAAGAGTTCATTTTCCTGATTCACCGCAGAAAAATATTCATTTTGGTGGATCACAAAATGTCCTCAATTTTTCTCAGTTTTCAGAATCCTCCAAAGTAGCCCCAACATCTTCTAATGCACAGTCTGAAGGTAAAGGTAATGGTGGTCTGTTGCAAAACAAGGGCAAAGAGTGCTCTGTCATGACAGTTGGTTCAAGTCACTGTGGCAGCAACCAAGTCCCTCTAGATCCTGACATAAGCAGGGCATCAAGCAATGGGGTTTGGACTACCGCTTTATTTTCCGAGCCTGAACCCCAGAGAGATGGCATCCAGAAATCAATCCATCAGAGTGAAAAGGGGAAGTCAGAGGTGCCTGAACCAACTTTGAGTTCATCATCAGATGACTCTGGTAGTCTTGCAAAAACTTGCTCCTGGTCTGCAAGAAGCCATGGCCAAAAAAGGAAAAAGGTTGATACAGAAGAATTAGAGGAACAAAGTGAGGTGAAGCCCTTTTTCCTCTCCATTTATCTTTATTATTAAATGCTTTTGTTTTTGCATCTGATCTATTTCTCTATGTATAATACAGGACACAGAACCCAAATCGGCTGTTGAAAACAAGGTAGCTCAGGGGACAAGGCCTTCCCGAAGGAACCGTGCAGCTGAAGTGCATAATCTCTCAGAAAGGGTAAGAGCTGGATACTTTATGAGAAGGCTGAATTTGGTGAATTTAACTCTGACCATCAGTGTTGCTAATGCAGAGACGAAGAGATAGGATCAATGAGAAGATGAGGACATTGCAACAACTCATACCTCATAGTAACAAGGTTGGTTTTGGTTTTTATGCGCCTGTTGACTTGCTAATCTCTTAACAGATTTTATTGATAATGCATGCATTCAGTGTCCGAGTCTTAGAGATAGAAGACTGCCGGATTTATATTGGTGCATTAAGTAAAAAAGGGCATAAAACATGTCTGGAAAGGGGTAGGGGAGTAGAGAGAGAAGGTAAAAGCAAGAAGGAGAAAAATCCTGTTGAGTTAATTATTAAAGTATTCATAATGCACCTCCCCATGTTATAAAAAAATAGAAAGTGGTCAAAACTACTAACAAAAGTAACAATGCAAACCGGTTTGTCTTGTTTAAAATGATTCTTTTTTCATGTCATCCAATCATAGAGTTGTGCTAATTGAACAAGGGCTTATTTACAGACAGATAAAGCATCAATGTTGGATGAGGCAATTGAGTACTTGAAATCACTTCAGTTACAACTTCAGGTACGAATTGCACTGAAGAATTTCCTGTGGCAATTGTCTTTACATTGATAATTTGGTGATATATGATCATTTCACTCTTTATTGCTAGGTAATGTGGATGGGAGCTGGAATAGCACCAATGATGTTTCCAGGAATTCAGCACTATATGTCCCAAATGGGTATGGGAATGGCTTCACCCTCTTTTCCTCCTATTCCAAATCCGGTGCAATTACCAAGAACATCACTTGATCATTCCATATCCATGGCTCAACCACCAAACCAGGGTTTGATGCGTCAAGCTCCTGTTATGGGTCCCTTTACTTATCAGAATCAGATGCAAAATCAAGCTCTCTCAGAGCAATTCGCGCGTTATATGGGGTATCAATTTATGCAAAGTGCCTCTCAGGTTTTGGTTTCGTCCAAATCAACGTCTATTTGAAAAAAAAAATAATAATTAAAGAATGAAACTTCAACACTTTTTTTATTTCGTGATAGTGTTCCTGTTCAAATAAATTCTCTTTTTTTCCGTCTGTCTTTGGTCTTGTAGCCGATGAATGGATTTAACTATGGATCTCAAGTACAACATAGTCAACCAATGATTCCACCCGGCAGTAGCAGTGGACCCTTGAACGGAGCTGCAAATAATGATGATAATTTAGGTGGCAAGATGGGTAAGCCACCTACATACTTCTCAATTCCTTGACCACATCAATTATATGGAAAAGTTTTGCCTGTTGCTTTTAAGTAAACAGTTGCGAGTTTTTGTGCAGTCAGCACATGTAAATTTTTCTATAACTACTGCTGATGCTTTAAATTGGACTCACATATCTTCCTCCTGCAAGTCCTTGTCATGAAATTCTTCAAATGTCTGTTGATTGATAGCATTCTCAATAGCTAGCTTATTGACTTCTGTTGAGTGTCTAATTTCAGCGCTCCTTGAATATATTATTACTCAATAAAATTTCCATTCCATTCGTCAGTTTTATCTTTGTTGGATTTGCTTGTGCCTTGAGCATTCTCACTCCATAAATTTCTCTTGACAGTTTTGTGTTGTTCATTATTCACAGGTTAACTAGTTTACAAAAATGCATAGCGGAATCTGTTGTGTCATGAATAAGCCGGGCAGGATGATACAGGCCATCTCATGATTCTCAGTATGTTTGCCTGCTCAAGTAAAATACCTGAATATATACATCTCTTCACGGGGCTGACAAGTCACTTTTGTTTCTCCATCAGTGACTGTACATATTTCTTCAAAGCAAAGTGGGGTGGAAATGGAAAAAGAAAGGAGTTATATTGAATCCAGTTAATACATACTTGTCATGCCATGCATGTGATGAGATCAATGAAGAAACTAGCTTTGGTTAAATGGCTACCTCCAAAAAGGTTACTCTTTTCCTCAAAGTCTTCCAACAATAAGATGGCTGTATTTTTGCAAGTGATTGGTGAAGGCCAGGGGGTCCACTTTGCTTTGAGACGATTGTTGTGAGCCACTCATCGTTGCCTTTGAAAAGTTATGATGAAAGCTTTAGCGAACCCCCTTTTGATGTAGATAACTAGATTAATTAGGTCCCCTTTCCATTCTGCTTTTTCATTCCTCGCAAATTTGTCCCGCAGTGCAAATATATACAACACTGGCGCTGGATTTCACTAAAAGGAAAGCATAATGTTATATGAAGATGAGTTTGAAAAGACTGGTACTGCATGTTCTGTCCATTTTTTTTTATCTGATGTAAAATCAACTTCCTTACCTCACTACTTTGTCGTCAGATTGCAATCATTTCACTATGTTGTTTCTCAACTTTACTCTCTCTATCTCTCTCTCTCTCTCTCTCACTCGTCTTGAAAGTGGCATGAAAATTGAATCTATTCCCCACCACTTAGTGTGATGTTTTATCTTTATTTAGTCAAGCTGCAATCGAATGTGTGGTACTGGTCCCTCTGTGTGACATTGGAGATAATAATCCAACGAACTGTTTAGAAATTTGGATACCATGGTTCATCTGTACCTGTTGTTATCATGTCATGTGACCACAGGATTAATAGTTTAATACCGAGACGTTTCTCTCATTCCTGAACTTATTGCAATTGTGGTCCCTTGAGAATATTTATCTTCTCACAATTTTAACATCATTGGTTAATTCAATGGAGTTTGAAGGATATGTTCATTACAGAGAACATTTTGTACTGTTTGTAAATTTGAGGAAGAAAGGTGATATCCTCTTCTCTTTTGCTGAGGTTGACGAAGATCCTGATTGAACCTTTCAAGTCTTTGTAATTTGGCTGAGTTTATATTTGGAGAAGTAATTGTTATTTATGACGTGTCGTTTAGCTCTTTTTTGTGTCTAATAACTTATGCCTAGCAGTATCAATGTTTTCCCCCTTAATTGATTAAGATTCTTGAGTTTGGTCACCTGTGAAAGCCATATTTTTCGTCATAGGAATCTTATCCTTCTTTTTCTATAAAAAAATTGAATTTAATTTATAAGCATTTTTGTATTTCTCTTTTTCTTTTTTCCATGGTTACCTGATTATGATTAGATGGCAAATGCTTTGCCTGAAGTTCATATACCACTAAATTACAAGGTTAACGGCATATTATATTCTTTTTGAAACTCAGGGATGTAAATATGTCAAATTTCTCATTAGTAAATCATGCTTAATAACTTAATCAAGAACGATAATAATATAACTGAGCTTGAATTTAAATCTCTTGCAAATTACCCAAAAAGTTTTCATTGCTGAATCAGGCCGAAATAACTAACGAGAACTATATTTGAACTTCCAATTGAACTTCCAAAGTATGTTAGGTGTTCCTTTCTATGACTATATGTGAGAATGTACATGCAGAAGGAGAAAAAGACAGTCCTAGAGATAGGGATAATCTCAATTCTTTTACGGTTTTCTCATTGTCATTTAAACTAATGATATTACTACATACATGCACCTTTAGATCTTAGTGCATGTTCTTGGAATTTTTGGTACTGTAATGTCCCATTAGTACTGAACCATTATATCACTATTCAAGTATTTATAAAAGAGTCAACACCAACTACTTTTAGTGCCCAATACTATTTCCGATCTTTAATATACGAGTTAAATATAGGAACTAGTTGACTAATTTGAGTAAATTAAGAAAACTAATTAAGTCAGTTATTTGTAATAAATATGTATTGTCTTTCCTAAATATCTTTACTAATTAAGTGTATTGACCAGAATTATTATTATTACAAAGATTAACTTGAAAAAAACTCAATAAATATGAAAAACAAATTAGATTAGGGTCTTGCATTTAGAACTAAAATAAAAATCAAACGAACTTTTATATTAAGAACTGAAAGTAGTGTAAAATAAGAAAACAACCACATAATAATTTTAGCTAATATATGCTAACATCGGAAAAAGTAATACTCAACTTGTCATTTAATATTGGTAATTAAAAAAAATATTACCAACATGTGAATATTCAAAACAGAATAAAACTCTTAGTTTTATTAATATTCTAAAACAGAATAAAACTAAGAGTTTTATTAACGGTCAACGGTTCTCTCTCTCTATACAAATGGTTAACGTAACTACAACTCAAGAGTGAGAGTTTTGCTCTGTTCTGAAAGGTTCATGTATATTTTTGTATTTAGGTAAATTTTATGATGTTAGATATTCATAAGAGAATACTTCATAGATATGAACTTTTATTGCGCCTTAAGCTATTAAAAAATAGTAATTAATTTGGATGGAATTGGATCTTTTCCTTATATTCTCTCAAGCCATTCCTTCCTGTACAATGCCAACCATTAGATTAGTATGAAACCAACTATTTAAACGATGTTTTTGTTGTCATTAGCTTCAAATTAATCTAAACAATCCTATCAAAACTAATCCAACTATTGAAACTACATATTCAAACGCTGCTCTAGTCAAATCATGTAGTTTCGTTGAATAAATATATGTGTTTAATTATCTTTATAAAGGCAGTAATTTTGAATCATTATATTCTAATCTAGAAATGGTTCTCAACATAGTTACGCACTCATAGTCAATAACAAATGAATTACTATCATCTTGTTCTTACATAAGACTTAGATAACTAACATGTAAATATTAAAAAACTCAGTTAACTTAATTGTTTGCAATAAACGTGTCTTGGTTTCTTAAAATATCCCATTAAATCATGTGTATGAGAACTATCTTTTGATTGGGAATTCCTTTAATATTTACAATTAATAAAGATAATTTAAGCAAACAATTATAAATTTAGAAAATAAAATAAACTGAGATCTTATATTTAAAATTTCAATAACCTTTTATCTAGCTTAGTAAGAGTTCGTATAGAATAGAAGGTACTCCTCCGGTCCTAAATGTAAGACCCTTATACACTCTAGTATAAGGGTCGTCTATTTAAGACCGGAGAAGTATTACTTATTTAGCATTTACCCCCACATGCAAATTTTGCTGAATGTGGGGACTGCAAGTAGGACTTTTTACAAACACCTTCCTTTTGAACTTGGAACATGCACCAAATCAACATCACATCCTGTCATCATTATTTATCTTGGCTTCTTTCTTCCACTTCCATATTCTCTCCAGACTTCTCTTTATCACGATTTGATATATCACTTTCACGTTAACTTCATAATGGATGGTGTAAAAAAAATCACTTTCACGTTAACGTCATAATGGATGATAAAAAAAATTATTGGTTCTATGTAATTTAGTAGCCTCTACGTATATGCAGATATATGTTATTATTCTTCAGCTATTCGTTTGGTAAAGAATGTCAGATTTGGAGGGAAGAAAAAGTGGGAAAGTAATTGAAACGATAAAGATGGAATCTTTGCTTTAACTAAGTATAAAAGATATGGAATCTTTTCACATCAAGTTTATTTCAAATTTGAGAACTCAAGTTAATGGTGTGTGATCGATTTGCTATAATTAGAAGAGCTATAATCTTTTCTTTAACTAAAAAATAAAACTTCGAATCTTTTCTTTACCCAAGTATAAAAGATGGAATCTTTTCATATCAAGTTTACTTCAATTGGAGAACTCAAGTTAATGGCGTGAGATCGATTTGCTATAATTAGAAGAGCTATAATTGTATATCGCTTGCATGGATAAGTTCAAGTTATTTTGAAAGAAATAGATGATTCATTCTTTGTAATAAAATGTATTGGTATAATGTCACTTCACTAAGTATGAAATGAAAATAAAAAATTCAATCATTATACTTTTATATAAATAAATTAATAAATTACTGTCTTCTATACTAGCTTAGATATATGGAAAGGAAAGAGTACGATCTACCTTCCCTTTAATATTATAAGAAAGATTTATAAAAAAGAATAGAGTGCTGATAAATTATTGATAGATTTTTACCTCCTAAATTGAATATATATAATTAAAAAATCAAATTAAAAATATTAAGCTGAAAATTTTAAGAATTAACTATTTATAAGTTAGAATATTATTACTTTATTTATTGTGATGGATTAGTGATGAATGATATGATTTATACAATTACAATGAGAGTCCAAGAAAAGAAATAATTACTAATAAATTCTAATAAAAAATGAGTAGTTGTCATTTACTACCTTAAAACTTGTCATTGTTACTTTGTTATTATTAAAACTTTTTAGGAATTATGTTCTTTACTCAGGACTTGATATCAATTCTCCCTTATCCTTTAGACACCATGAACCATGGCACCCACAAATTATTTTTTGTTTTGAAAGCTTATTATAAGATATAAATTTATAATAAACCACAATATTTATAAATTATATATGAGTAATATATTATATTCCATATACAAATTCCATATAGTGTTAAAAAAACACATATCTAGGTACTTGAAGGCCACAATATAACATTGTGGTCTGAATTCTTGAAAATGACCATCTGAAGCCAACCAAACAAGTTGTTGAGAAGAGTTGAAACACAGAAAGTGACTTTAAGGAAAGAACAACACATAACATTAACAACAACAACATTATTAAATCAAAGCCACACAAGTTGGGTGAATGTGGCCTTGTTTCTTCTTGTGTCATCACTTTCTTGAGCTTAGATGTTGGAAAATGACTGAGATTTTCTTTATATGCCTTCCCCACAATTATTTTGTGATCTCAGATCTTTCCCCCCCTCCTCTCTTAATCTTTGAAATTTATTTCTGGCCACATGTTTGATTTGGAAGTCTTTTTCTTGGTTCTTAGTGTTTTCCAAATCAATTAGGGAATCTTTATCTCTATAGGATCCTAGCTAGGCTAGCTAGGCAAATCATTTGTCATGGAATTTTAGTTATTATTCTTCTGAAATAAACTAAATATGCATGATTTTTTTTTCCACAATAGAAAGCGTTTAAAATGGGGAGAAAAAACATGAACTTATCTCCAAATATGTACTCTCATGTGTTATTGTGTAAATGATAATTAAGACAATGACAACTAATTTCAGCGAAGTTTCTTTCTAGTTATCAATAGCAGCAATAGTTAAAACAAATTTTATCTTATCAAATCACAACAATAACGAAAACAGTGATGATTAGTTTTGCAGAAAGAAATTAGATCATTTGGGAAAAAATTATTTCAAAATAGTTTCTAAAAACTTCAGCTCCGCAGAAATTAAATTATTTGAAATGATTGTTTTGAGATTTTCATATTTTGGGTAGCATTTGACTATGTCTTTCTTCCTTTAAAATATTATATTCATTTTTGATATTTGGATATTAAGATTAAATCGATTTAAAATATATCTAAAAATAAAGGAATGACCCAAAAATATGATAAAATATATGGAAAATTATTTAATGAATAAGAAATTTCGTTGAACGTAGCATGTGTTAGTGTATCTTACTGCATGCGTGACTTATAAAGGATATATTTTTCATTACTTTATATTGATAACATTATTTTAAAACTATAACTAATTAATATTATTATAATAGACCCTCTTTTGTTCTCAGTTAATTAATGTACGCTATGTCATAAAGGAAAAATAAAATATATTAATTTTTTTAAAAAATTAATAATAAATTTTAAACAGAAACATAACTTAACTAACGGCATCTGAAATGCTGGGGGAATCAATATAGTAATTAAAGATAACGATTAGAAAGGAATAAGAGAATCACTTGTGGGAATATTTTCTTTATGAATCACTTTATTATTTCTCTTCCAACAAATTTGGTCAGTGTAGAAGTTAATATAACAATAATGATTGTGAATAAAAACATTGAAAAACTACATAAAATTTATTTAGTTCAGGTTTACTTTGACTGGTTCATATTTAATGAGCAAACTACCAACAACACGATGTTGAGTTATAGGTATTAGACTCATAGTTTATTAATTTGCAAGAGAAACAATATGAGTAACTGATAATTTGGCTCTTGCTCAAGTTACAGTTTTGTTTATATATAGATATATCGTTGTAAGGCGATCGTTATGACCACAATAATTTTTACACTTCATGTTATATTTTATTTCGTCATTTTACTTTTAAAAAACTATTTTATTTTTGTATTGCGTGGAAATTTACACATCGCTTGGTTAATATCCACACCAATCATAATTAGCAGATGTGAACTAATTAACGTCTATAATTGAAGAAAACCATGAAACTTTAGGGACCCAACAAAAGAAATAAAAACTATAAAAAACTGATTAAAAATAAAGTAAAATTCTAAGAACAGACAATTTAATTGTTGTTTCATATGAAATATCTTAATCTAAATAAAAATAAAATATATTGAAAATTCAAAATATCACAACAAAGATATGGTCGGTGTAGGGTTATTGTCTGTTGGTATGAGTCTTACATGGCCCCTCTCGTCTGTGGCCTACTCTACATTTGTGGGTGTGTGTGTGTGTTGTGTGGACCAAGATGACCTCTATTTCGTGTTGTGGGGGAAATTATGGGAACCATATGTGAAAGTGATGTGAATGTTGCCAACTAAAACTCACAACAAATCAGCATAAATACGAGAATTGCGAGGTCTCAGAAGTGGCCGACCTACATGTATACTAGTATATCATTATTCTCACCATTAAGCCTGCTGATTTTATTCCAATAGGGACATTCAATAAGTGTAAAGTTGAGCAAAATCGAACTGAATTTTAAAAAAAGATAATGATGATGATTTGAGTTTAGTTTCTTTTTGAAACTTTAATCTTTTTAGTTTGTAGTTTAGACTAAACCAAACTCAATTGACCAATTGCTCACTCCTACGTAAGTGTTCAACATAATTAATATACATTGTAATTATCAGTTGTAATAATAAAAATTCATTTTGCATTAAAAAAAAAACGTTTGAGATCTTATCATACAATTATATAAGTTTTGAGATATTATAAAAATGATATCGAAAGTATTTTTTTTAAAAAAAAAATCTCTAATTGTTGGGACCTTGAAGCCCCTCCCTTAAATCCTTTTTAAACATGAGGTTGTGATTGTGAGTTTAAGCTTTTTATGAATTGCACTATCTCCAGCCTTTATATAAGAGCTAGTTAGCTAATTTAAGTGGGTTAAAAAAGTTTGTTAAGTTAATTATTTATAATAAATATGTGTTATCTTTTGTAGAATATCATTGTAAATTATGTGTATTAACTAGAACTGCCATGTAATGGAACTTTTAATATGTGCAGCTACTATAAGGACTATTTTGAAGAAAATAAATAAATATGAGAGACAAAGTGGATTGAAATCTTATATTTTGAATTAAATTGAATGTTAAATTAGATTTTATATTAAGGAGAGAGAGGATAATGGGTTATGTTTACATGACTCATAATTGAAACAATTCCTTTAATTCTTAATATTGGGATTTTTAAAAAAAAAGATTTACTATACCCTTATCATAAGAATCTTTCTAATTTGTTTTAATCATTCATCTTTTTTTTATTACTACCCTTTATTGTTCTTACCTTTTTCCCCCCACACTTGCTAAGTGGAGAGAGATTGAGATGAAAAATCAATAAGACAATAAGTTAAAATTTTAGATAAATTAAATGAAGGGTCAGGCCATTCAATGTTGGGCATCCCTTTGGGCCTGAGTACAAAGCGGGGTGACTTTTTGATGGGCCTAAGCATTCATTGTTGCCCACATAGAGGTAGAGCGTCGGCTATTTTTGTTCTAAACAGAAATTAAATTTTTTTTTTGAATCTCAAATTGTTATTCTACCTAAAATTAGATGTAACAATCGATGACATTAATTGGATGGTTAAAAAAATATATGTTTCAAATGATAGTTTTGTGACTCTCTTGTTTAAAAAAAAGAATAAATCTGATTATTAATAATCCTTGTTTGTCATCTGGATTTTGGTTAATAATAAATTTTCATTAGTAAAACCAAAAGAATGAACAGCTTTGTTGGTCATTGTCTACTTAGAGAGTGTTAGGGTGAAAATCAAACTATGATCTTAAAAATAATTTTAGTCATTTTACAGTGTTATAAAGTAAATATGTGAGAAAAGTTTTGTTTCGACTAATGTAAAAATTTTTTGAAAGTACTTTTAGGGTGATCTAAACACCTCCCTAAAGATGTTGGTATATTTTTTTTTAAAAAAAAGAGCAAAATATACTAATTACTTCTCAGTTTTGTCTTAGTTACACAACAGGAAAAAATTTCAATTCAGAATCGAGAAAGGGATGAAACTACCCAGAAATAAAATTAACAAAATCCTTGTTTTTAATAAATTTTTTTTAGTTTAGATGTTGTACCTGTTCATCATTCGTCTTCTCCTTTTGCTAATTTTACGTTTTATTGCTCTTCTTTTATTATGTACATCTTTTTTTTTCCCTTATTAATATCATTTGATCTTTTATCAAAAAAGAAAATGTTACTTTTAGCGCTGCCATTGGTTTTTCCAACCTCTCTTTCTCGATGGAACACTTTATTTCCTTTCATTTTCTAAGTAAAATTCGTGTAACTATAAAAATAATAATATAATTGAGAAATTTAGTACACTGAGGGGTAAAATAGTAAATAAAATTCGTTTCAATATAAACTCTAAGTAAAAATTATGTTTTCATAATTTTTTTAGAATATTTCTAACAATATTAATATGTTTTCATAATTTTTTTAGAATATTTCTAACAATATTAGCATATTGAACTAAACTATATTTTTAAAATAGAGAGGAACTGTGTAATTATAGCAAACTAGAATGTTGTGAGAGTAATAAAATCATCCAATCAACGAACACCATCCAAAAATTAATTGGTATATTCAAAAAAATACATTAATTATAACAAAGATTAAGATGAAAATCGTAGCCGCTATATATCATCAATCAAATCCAATTTTTCTTCTTCTTCTGATCTCTTCACTCGAGTAACTGCCTTTTCAACCTATAAAAAAAAAAATAATGCTAACAATTTTTACATAGAAAATTTTGAGTTTAAAGAGGACATGCATGCATAAATATACATTTAGTGACAAGAAAATCATGCATATCTATGTGAGCGAACATGGAAAATTATGCATAAAATTAATTTAAACAGGAAACGTTAGTTAAGAATTATGGACTTAAGCCACCTAGTATTATTTATAATTTTTTTTATGACAATATGGTAGTGGTGGTGTTGGTAATGGGCATGATAAATACTATTTCCGATGCGAGCTAATTGACTTATTTGAGTAGATTAAGAAAACTAGTTAAGTTAGTTATTTGTAATAAATATGATGCTATATTTTTTGAAATATTCTTGTCAATTAAGTGTATTAGCTGGAACTATCATTATTACAAAGACTACCTTATGAAAAATGAATAAATATAAGAGCCAAAATGAATTAGAGTCTTATATTTAGAAACAAAATAAAAGTTAAATGAACTTTTAAGGACTGGAGGTAGTAATTAATTTCTTTTGGATAAAATAAATAAATAAAAATGTTATAAATGTGTGAGTAAGGCCTCTTTGATGAGAATTGTATAATACCTCAACATTCCAATTTGTTCTGGCGGTAAGTATGATAAGAATCGCAGTCTGAAAAAATATACCGGCGATCATGCCCCACCACATGCCCTAATTAACACATAATCAAAGCCAAAATTAAAAACAAAATACCGAATAATTAAGAATAATTAATAATTGAATCAGAAAGAAATGGACATTGCCGTTAATATCCAGCGTATTTGATTTAGATGATTTAAATGTCATGTTTTTATTTTATTTTTTATTACTAATCATTACATTTTTGTTTTGCAAAAATCTACAGTTAAAAATTTATAACCCTTTATGTTTTGCTTCTTTCAAATTTTAAAAAAGATATATAAATGCTCTAGGCTAATCAAATAAATTAAATCTGAAAATTAAAGTTATTGCCCAAAAAAATAAAAGTTTGAACTTACTGCTACTCCCAAACTGGTCTTGAAGCCAAGAACAATGCCAATGGGAAGACCAATCACATAATAACAAACCAAATTTACATAAGCCACTGCACCCTGCCATCCACTTCCAATTGCAACTCCTATATCACAGCACAATACATTAATTAATTAAAGCACTTATCATGTAATATAATTAGAATAAAATATCAAATTTTACAAAAAACTCGCCTGTAATTTTTTTTTTTGGTAAAAAAAATCCCACAAATATAGATATATAAACAGTAAAACTACACTAGCTCAAATAGCATGGAGTTTCCTAAAACCACGTAAAAAAAGTGCTTTCATACAAATGGAAACAAAACTTTTCTTAAATACTTATTTTGAACATCCCGTAAAATCACTTTTAAAAAGCTAATCCAAACACCCTTAGCTTAACTAATGCATGGTCTCAAGTTTAAGACCCGAGAGACTCATTATCGTCCTTGTAATCATACCGTACCTGCTGTCCGACTCAACTGAGATTAGTAATTGAAATGGTAATTGAGGGTTACCTGAGAGTATAGGTTGAATGCCATTCAAAAGGACCGAGATGGCAAGCAAAGGGGTGAGATTGGAGACAGCGTGAATGACAGCAGTATTAGTAGTGAAGAGTTTGCTCATTTCAACCCTAAATATCAGAATTAGTGCGCAGAAAACTATGCTTATCGCCAAGCTTGTGCCGTTCACCACTATCACTGCGAATCTTGCCAGTTTTGGATGAGCTGCTCCCAGTTCATTACTCACTCTTACACTGAAAATTCATAAATCTATACATTAACTAGAGAACCATTAATCTCACCCAAAAAATTCATAAATTCAGATTCTTCTTCAACAAACCTGGTGGCTGCGCACAGACCTAGCATGAAGTTCATGTCCCAGTTCCAGTAGTTCATACTGAAAGTTCAAGGTGTTCATCAGGTACTGCACAATTTCTTGAATTCTCAATGAAATGAAGGGGAAAAGAGAAGAGCTTTCTTTTTGTTTTGTTTTGGGGTTTGGAGTTTGAAGGAAATTAAACCATACCATATGGAAATAGAATCCAGTGAAACCGTTGGGTTTGGTAGAAGTCCCGATAAGAGCACTAATCCCTGGCTGTACCATATCTCCAAACTGCATTCACAATCAAATAAAAGCTATAAATGTTAGATTCATAGAGCAATAATTCAGATATCTATCAACTTTGTCATTATATTCCATCATTTATTGCGTTAAATGGGTCCATGCAATCTTAAAAGTTAGAAGAACAAAGACATAAATATGACAAACTAAGTGTATGTTCATGGTAGCAACCTTAAAACATGGTTTTGACAAAAAACAACAAGCCTATTGCATATAGTATAAAAAAAAAAGAAGTCAGTTTTAGAGGTGATCAAGAGCATAAGATAAAACAAACTGTCAATCTTTTTTCAATATTTAAAATGTAAGTCTCATGTTTTCACAGAGTCTAAGATAATTATACTGTTTATGACTTATAAATAGCGTGACTTTCTATAAATTTAACTATATATATAGATATCAACTTAAAACCCTAAAGGCTATATGCTCATAGAAATTCTAAGTAGCTTGCATCCTCCAAAACTAAATAGCCAGCCTAAGAAATTCTAATATATTCCATGAAGGGATAGATACATACGCAAGCATAACAGCAGAAGCAGCGGTGAGTTTAAAGTAAGGCCAGATTCCAGAGAAGGCTTTTATGGAGAACCCGGGCCAAGTCTCTTTACAAGATGGGCTAAAAACAATGTAAAGCCCATTGATCAACACAAAAAGCCACCAAGAAAAGCTAAGAGTCAAAGCAGCCCCAAGAAGGCCAAGGCCCCAAACATAAACCACAAGCCAAGAGAGCAATATGTGCAGCAAGAACACTCCCACAGACATATAGGCCAATGGGTTCACTATGTTTTGGGCCTGCAAGAACCTTTGCATCGGGCAGCTCAATGCAAATGCATATAACTGAGGGATGATCCCATGGGCAAAGACTTGGCCTTGTTCGGCTATGTCTTCGGCCTGGCCCATGGCCTTGAGAATTGGGCCTGAAAACCAGTACAAGAATGTGAGTAGAAATGCTGCTCCTAAGTGCAATACAATTGCTCTTTGGCATATAATGCCCAGTGCTTTGTATCTCTTAGCTCCATATGCTTGTCCACATACCGTTTGCACTGCACTAGCCATACCTATCTGCAAAATACATGTCATCCTAGTATCAAAATTTATTAAAAAAAAGAAAAATGCTATCACTTCTTGAGTATTAAAAAAATAATTATTAAAAAGTTCTAGTGACAATGGAGTAGCCTGCAATAAAGTAATAAATGAAATCTGTTCACTCATCATTTGGACTCATTGGTAATCATCTTTTTCTTGAGATTTCATTATATTTCTCCCTTTATAAAACATCTACAGGTGAAACTAAAAAATTATATTTAAATTTATATATATTTGAATCCGCCAATGATCCCATGACCTAGTGATATGTAAACTCATGTGACAGGTTCGATGGCACTTATAATTTTTAGTTCACTAGTGTCTATTTCTTTAAATGGAAAAAATATATGTCTGAAATCAAAGTATCACTTTTTCCCTCTTCTTTTAATATCTAGAGATAAAGGAAACTCGCACATGCCACATGCTCACAAAGGAGCATGGGCCACTTTGGGGGAACTCGCAATTTCTTTAAGCTAAGCATTTATTGCTTCGGAAAATGTTGAGGCATTTATGAATTTTGTTGTCCTGTATATAGGAACAGGATAATTGTATAATTAAAGAAATAATACATGAATTTCTAAAAAAGAATGTTCTACTACAAGGGTATAATAAAGAAATAATACTTATGATTTTCTAATAAAAGACAGACTAAGTAAAACACTAAAATTCATTTTAAAAGCGAGAGATTTAAAAAACAAAGAAAGGGAGAGATTGTTAATTCACTAATTCTATCTGCAAAAAAGAAATTTAACTCTACCAACATTTAAACCGAACTTCAAAGTCCCATTAGTAAGAGAATATTAATCTTTCACTAAATATATACATATCTATATGTTCGTGATTATATAAAAAAATCACCAAACGTACCATGATCCCATAAGCAAGACCTTGAATTCCAACACTGGCAATGGAGGCTCCGGCGAGAGCGACGGTGCCGAGGTCGCCGGTGAACTTGAGAGTGGCAAAGGTGAGCATGTAAGTGAACAAAGAAACCACTATGGAAGCCCCAGAGAGATGCCACAAAATCTTAGACTCCCACCCCACAAGCCTCACCCACCCTCCCAATCTTATCCCCCCTTTCTCCAGCATCTCCTCCACCTCGTCCCCTGACATTCTCGTGCCGGCCGCCACCACCGCGGCCCCGGCCCCATTCTGCTGCTGTATCAGTGGCTCCCTCTCTGTCGAACCCATGCTACCTCGATCTATCTCTTGCTCACTCACTAACTCGCCTTCAAAAAAAACCCCCAGATATCTTACTGATGAGATCAGATTCAGATGTCTGTGTTTTAAGTTATTTCTCTGCACTGTGGTTATTTATAAAGCCACATATCTATTAATAATTTGCTAATGATCATTATGGGCTTTCTTTTTCAAATTTACAAAAGTAATATTTTAAAAAGCACTATTATTAACGCTATGTCCACCATACTTAATTTAGTTAGAGTCATCATCCGTCAGTCTTTGCCTCGTGACTACTGGTAGTTAGAGCTACCTGCCAAAATGTTCCCACGTGCTAAAAAAAAACTTTACCTTCTGTATATAATAAAAATCTAGTCAATTAAAAACCAATAAAAATGATTTTAATTCCTCATAATATTTTATCACCTCTAATAGAGTATTAGTTTGATATTGTACATGTATTTTTAGTTTTATTATAAATATATGTGTTTGGCTTTAATTAAATTGTTTTTGATTATGCTATTATATTAATTTATCATATATCAAATAATTATTGGAATCTGTAACTTCGAGTATAATTGAAATAATTTTCTTTCTTTTTTTCTTTCTCTTTTTCTGTTTTTTTCCCGCTTCAACTTGAAGGATAAATAAACAACTAGCTAACAAGCTCTACGTCCAACGCTGGAACAAACACATCGAGTCTTGAGAGAGAGAGAGGGTCGGAAGTCGGAATTAGTGTTTTGTGCTTTCAATAAAGTTTGTCGCCGCTCGCCAACACTTCAATACTCTTTTATTATATTATTATAAATTTCAAAAAACTAATTTGCTCATAATAAAAATTATTCAAAATTAGTTAAAATTAATAAATAAATAAAAATATTTTTTATTTATAAATATACTTCTATAATAAATTAGAAAAAGATTAAAAAATATGTGAAAAAATTTAATAAGAGAGAACGTGATAAAAGAAAAAATAAATAATTAAAGATAAAATTGAAAGAAACATAGTGTTAAAACAAACTTAAATTACTTCATATATTAAAAGCACTTTTTTATAAATCAAAATAAACTGCTCTATATATTTACTTTGTATTTTATAAAATTATTTCTAATAATTTGATTTCCATCTAAATACCCCCTAAAACTTATAAAATGGATCATAAACTTCCTATAATTTAAAACTTATAAATAAGAGTAGAAAGAGTATTATAAAGCCAAGTTACATTATGAAATCAGCGCGAGAAACATTATTTTAGTATGCAATACTACCTTCAATCCAATCCTTATTATAAAAGTTACATAACTAATTTTAAAATATTAAGAAAATTAAGTAAGTTAGTTATTTGTCACAAATATGTGATGTCCTCCTCAAATGATCTTATTTAATTACTATTCTATTCTTATTTATAAGTCACTTGTAAAATCTTTTCTTAAATATAAGTTATTTGGAGCATAATTAATGAATTTCTAATTTTATTCTTGTTGACTTAATAAATATATAGAGAGAGATAAAGTAGATAAATAAAACAAATATATAAAACATAGTTTTAATACTTTTGCTTTAATAATAATACATATAAAAAAATTATTAATTTAATATATTTCTTAATTTATAGGGACAACGGAGTATGAATAGGAACACATGCACATTGAAGTACATGTGGGCCCTCTTACAATTAGCAGTTGAAGTATTAGTGGCAACCAAGTGGACTATGGAGGTCTGTCTCTGTATAGGACAAAAATGCCCCAGTTTCGGCGCCATCTACTTTTCTCAGAGTGTGGTTTCATAAACTGAATTTTTAGTTGGTAACAAGCATTACCGTTGACTGGCGTGCTTGCTTCAACAAAAATCCTCCTCTCCGCCACACGTACTCTTTTTATAGTAAACAAGTTAAGGATCCGTCTGGTTTGATGGAATGACTTTCCTTTCATAAAAGTAATTGAAGCATATTTTGTGTATATACTATTATTTCCGGTTCTAATTATAAAATCTTATTTATAATATATAAATGGGATCTTATAAAATAAAAACGGAGAGAGTATATATTCTCATGAACATAGAACATCTTACATTATTAAATACTAGTAGTAACGTTCTATAATGTTGTCTTTAAACCTATTAAAATATTACAATGTGGCCTCTAATAAGGAAAGCAGACTGGTCTGGCGTCATTGAATCGGGATATTTGAAGAAACATCGATCTGAACAACTCCCCCCCCCCCCAAAATTAAATTTGAAGAAAACTGAGGGATATTTTGGTAAAAGAAAAAAAAGAAGAGAAGCACTTTAATTAAGACACCTGTCAGGGATTGCGGGTCCCACCTTTATATGCAACACGCATTTGCTTTCCATTAACAGGTCAGGGCTGACATTACAACGTTTTCATAAATAAAGATAGAAAAATGACACTTAATATTAAAATTCTTATTTCGTAACTTAAATAATGAAAAATCTTTTTTGAGCACATATAATCAAATTGAAATTTTAAAATTTGCTAAAAAGATCAAATTATTTTTTATTTAAAAAAAATCAAGCAACCTCATTAGTCAGCCTGTTACCAGAGTTACGATGCTAACAGTTCCAACGGCCGATCAATGACCGGTTGATAGAGCTCTAATGGCCCACAACTATTTTTTTTTAGAGATTTTTTCAAATATGGTAATGCAATTAACAAGTTTTTTTAGAACTATTAACAAGTTTAGTATAACATTTAACAATAGATTTTTTAGAAAATTAAGTAACGTGGTTAACAAGTCATGTAACTATATTAACAACTCTTATAACAAGTTATGTAATGATATTAATAACTATCATAACTACAGTGATTGCCTAATAAATAAGAAAATTTTGTTATACAATATTTATAGGGAGTTAATATTAACAAAAAAATACCAATGTTCATAGGGAAATTTTGTTAATGGCGTTGTGAGAGTTGTTAATATCATTGCATGACTTGTTCACTGTGTTATTGAAGTTGCAAAAATATCACTTTTTGAATTTTTTGAAAAACTTATTGTTAATTACTATACTAAACTTGCTAATATCGTCAAAGAACTTATTAACTGTGTTATAAGACTTGAAAAATTTTCTATTTATGATACTATGACTAATCTCTCAAAATATAAAAAGCTCTTAAATCACAAGATTAATGGCATTATAAGAGTTGTTAATATAATTACATAACTTATTAACCGTGTTCCTGATGTTGTAAAAAAGTCACTTTTTGAATTTTTTAAAAAACCTGTTATTAACTTTTATACCAAACTTGTTAATAGTTTTAAAGAATTTGTTAATTATGTTAATAAACCTGAAAAAATCCAAAAAAATAAAAGGTATGGTTGGCGGCCTAGTTGAACTTTGGTGGCTGTTGTTGGCACTAAAGCTCTAGCAATCGACTGGCTGGTGAGGGTGTTTTTTTTCCCCAAAAAAATATAGGGCAATTTAGTCTTTTTAGCAAACTTCAAAATCCCAATTTGGTCATATGAGTTTAAAAGGGAATTTTTATTATTTAGGTGACCAAATGGAGATTTCAATACTCAAGTGTTATTTTTCTGACAAAAAATTGACATTTAATTCCCTCTTTTTTAGTATAACGAATATACTCCCTTTATTATAAGAAATAACTATCAAAATCACATGGTTTAAAGTGTTAGTTAAATTTAGTTAAAAACAGAAAATATAAAATATATATATATGAGAGATAATAAGTAAAAATTTAGCGTAAAGAGATAATAAATGAAACTATATTTAATGGGAGTAAAAATTGAAGGATAATTTTAAAATTCCAAATAAAAATAAAAAGAAATTGTTTGTCACACATCACTATGAGAGATTGTTATTGTTTACTTATAAAAAAAATACAAGGGAGTGATATACTGTCACAGAAGACTAATCTTTCTCCAAGTTCATAGGCATAGAGATAACGTCTCTTAATTATGCTTTTTATAGACATAAGAGCTAAGAACTGAATATTCAGAGCTGTCATTTATGTTTATGTAAGTTGACGTCAATTATGGTCAATGACTAGTTGTTTTAGCAGCGACATTACCCTAATACTTGGATGAGCTTTTGAATTTGAACCCGATGTTAATATATTTGTGTGTGCACATGCATTTGATTGTACTATATAAAAAATGAGAATGGAAAAAATATTTAAAAAGAAATAGGTATTCAAAAAACATATAAGGTAGTTGGTCGATCATTAAAAAAAAAAGAAAAATAATTCTTGAGGTAATTATAGTTTTTTTTAAAATTTTTAATTTGGTATCTATGTGTTTTTTTTCCCTTCTTAAAGCTTTTAATTTTACTCTCTTAACACTATTAATCTATATAACTTTACTCTATTGGCACTGTTAAACTATGAACAAAAATTAATTGTGCTAATAAAGTAAAATTAAATGATTTAATATGGAGAAAAAACTTACAGGTACCAAATTATAAATTGAAGGAAACTATAATATAATATTTAAGACAAGTAGGCCTGTGTTTGTTGGTTGAGGCTTTGTTTTTTTTTCCTCCTTTGATTGAGGACAAAAGATGCGTTTGGTGATTGCAACTTCAGAATTTGTTTTTTTTTTTTAATTTAAAAAAACCATTCTTGAGGTACTTAAAAGTCTTCTTCAATTTATAATTTAGTATCTATGAGTTTTTTCTCCGTGCTAAATTATTTAACTTTACTTTATTAGTACAATTAGTTTTTGTATATGGTTTAATAATGCTAACAGAGTAAAGTTATAGAGATTAATGGTGCTAAAAGAGTAAAACTAAAAGCTTTAATAAAGAGAAAAACACATAGATACCAAATTAAAAATTAAAGAAAATTATAAGTATCTCAAGAATAGTTTTTTTTGGTCAATATAACCTTGGTCTCTCAAATTTATCATCATTTTGGTTTTAGTCTCTTAAGTTTCAAACTATAAGTTTTGGTGTTTTAAGTTTCTTTTCATTTATAACATTGATCCCTATAATTCAATAAAAATTTTAACTACTTTGCCCTTTGAGGGACCAAAACCTATAGTTTGAAACTTAAGGGATCAAAACAAAAATGAGGATAAATTTGAAGAACCGAAAATTATATTAATCTTTTTTAAAAAAAAAATT